TCGGGATGGCACCCTTTGAAGCGTTGTATGGAAAACGATGTAGATCCCCATTGTGCTGGGACAAAGTAGGAGAACGAGAACTTGTAGGACCTGAGCTGGTCCACATCACCAACGAGGCGGTACAAAAAATTAGAGTAAGAATGCGTACCGCACAGAGTAGGCAAAAGAGATACGCCGATGTTAGGCGTAGGGATTTAGAGTTCGAAGAGGGGGACCCAGTGTTCCTAAAAGTAGCTCCTATGAAAAGCATTCTAAGATTCGGACGAAAGGGGAAACTAAGCCCCCGATTTATTGGACCGTTCGAAATTTTAGAAAAAGTATGTTCGGTAGCTTACAAACTAGCTTTACCATCTTCACTTTCAAGCGTACACGATGTATTTCATGTGTCCATGTTAAGGAAATATATTGTAGACCCTACGCACGTAATAGACTACAAACCTCTCGAAATCGAGGAAAATTTAAGTTATCAGGAGAAACCGATTAAAATCCTAGCCCGAGAAGTGAAAGCCTTACGTAATAGAAATATAGGTTTCGCTAAAGTATTGTGGCGTAACCACCAAATCAAGGAAGCTACGTGGGAAAGAGGAGGAAATAATGGAAAAATATCCCGAGTTGATCCACAAGTTCGAGACTTTCGAGGACGAAAGTTCTTTTTAGGGGTAGGTAATGTAATAGCCCAAAAAAAAAAAAATAACAATAATAACAATAATAATAAATAATAAATAAAAATAATTATAAAAAAATATATACGTCAAAATAATAAAAATAAAAATAATTCATAATTAAATAAAAAAAAGGCTTACTTAAAAATAAAAATAAAAATAAAATTTACCCACCTCTCTCCACTAACCTCTCGTCCCATGGGCAGTCCATCCAAAAATAAAAAAAAAAAAAAATGTCAGATTTGGGAAAAAGAAAAGATGGTCTTTCAACAACGATATGATGCAGAGATTTTAGTTTGTTATTACTGTAATATCATTTCCTTTTTCTTTATAGTTAAGGTTATAAGAAATCAATATAGGATCAAATCTTTCATCTTACTAATAATCAAATCCCATATTCAATTAATTAGATTTTTTCTGTTAGCATGGTAAGTTATAGGAAATAACGTTAGAATCAATAAAATTTTAGTTGGCAAATCCATAACTACCAACAATCGATTAAAATTGGCCAACAATATCTATTTAAAATAAATATAGAAGTGGAAGAATATCTTATTTACCTAATTGAAAATCTATTTACAGAAGTAAAATAATTACAAAAAGGGAGGAGGGAAGATTTGTTGAACAGAATTTAAAAATAAAACAGTAAATATGAGATGGTATGAAACTCCATTAAATTTTGTCAGTAAATATCATAATTTTAACCCTGTAAATTAGAGAAATAATTTTATAGAGTTCAAACTTGAAACTGATATCATGGGCTCACATAGGTTGACTTGGATTTCAAAGGACGGAATCGAACTTTCATTAAGGATATGTACGTGACAACGACTTAAGCTAACCAAGTAAGTGGCTCACCCGTCGAAGGTTACACGTTAATTGTTTTATGTTGGCACGTGCCCGTGGATTTGCACGTGTCATTGAATTGTATGCCAGTTTAATGTGCTTAAGTACAAACTCATGTGAACGTGAATGTATGCTATGTATGCTGCTTTGTTTGATGTGATATGATATGCATGTGACGATATGTGGTTCTTGAATGATTATGGCATGATTGTACGGAATATTTGAATGTAAACAGCATAAATTGTATGACATGAAATACAGTAAACTGCATGGAAACATAACCCCGAGAGGAATATGTATGATACGTAAAGAAATGAAAATGATTATGACATGTAAGTATGAAACGTGACAAGGGTTATGTTCATTAATGTTAAATGTAGGACTAGTGGGGACCTCATGCATATTGTGTGTTCATGCATCTGGGGGGATACCCCTATCCCATCATGAGGGTACGGACGCGTACATCCAATGGCAGGGCAACGATCTTATGCTTTGCATAATGCTGCCGTGACAGTTTCTAGTTTTAACGGATCCCGGCATAAGGGACTCCCAAAGTATGCCCACCGGATAAGGAAAGTGGCCCAGTGGTGTGCGAACTAGCTGGTGAGCCCATACTCGCACGTATGGGCTGTGTGTAGAGTATATGGTACACGTCCACGATTACCCATTAGGACAACACTGTAGGGAAAAGGAAATGAGACGAAACGATAGGTCCCATCATTTCATTGCGTGTGATTGTTGCATAACCCCGATAGGGGGTCACTTACTGAGTATTCTAGAAATACTCAAGCCTCGTGCTACTTTATTTTTTCAGATAAGGGCAAGGCACCCATGTGACAACGACGGCGGCATCGTACACCCCGGGACTGTGGCACATGCATAGGGTAGTTGTTTTTTTTTTAATTTATTTATTTCATAATCTAGGTTGAATTCGGTTTGCAACAATAGTATAGGTTAGTATAGGTTGAATTGTATTTGCATAATAAACCATAGGGTAGTATAAGACATTCATTTCGGTTTTGTTCCTTTTCCTTTATTTCAATAATGTTCTCTTCCTTTATTTCCCTTGTAATCATTTTCTCTTTCACGAGGTAATAAAAGGCCAGTGTAAGTCGGATTTATGAACAGGGTCCATTTAATGTATATTCCGCATTTCAAGGTATAGTAATGACCTTAGATTAAATAGGTAAAATTTAGGGTAGTTACGTTGTGTATCTGCGCTCCGGGTGTTGATGGATGTTACCGCCCTGCTGAGCTTGTACGATTGTATGCATTGTTAATCATACATAAACTCCTGTTGAATCATTTGTGTATCTACGTTCCGGGTATTGATGGATGTTACCGCCCCGTTGAGATTGTATGATTGTATGCATTGTTAATTATACATGAACTTCCGTTGAATAATTTGTGTATTTGCGTTCCGGGTGTCGGTGGATGTTACCGCCCCGTTGAGCTTGTATAATTGAATGCATTATTAATCATACATAAACTCCTGTTGAATGATTGTGTGAACTTATGATATGATTGATAAGCTGTAGTGTTGTGCTATGCCTATGGTGAACTCTTGTAGGGATTAAGTTGGGTTTAGTTAGGGGACCCTTCTGATGTTACAGTCCATGGTGTCGTGAGTGAAGCTTAGAGGGAGAGACCCTTTAACCCTGGACTGTTATGGACTTGGAAGACTTGATTGAGTGAATCTGGAAGCCAGGACCCCTAACTCAATAGTTTTAACTACCCTTGAAATATAGAGGACCACATTAGGACCCCGAGGTGTAGAGAGATGACCTCTTAGCCGACGGTATCTGGTTTAGCGATTGATTGTACCCCGCTTCCCTTCCTACTCCAGTGTGGTATTGTTGAGCTAGGCGAGACACCAGTTAGAGAGATGTTACCCTCCCCTTCCTACTCCCGTGTGGTATAGTTGAGCTAGGCGAGACGCCAGTTAGGAAGATGTTACTCTTCCCTTTCTACTTCGGTGTGGTACCGTTGAGCTGGGCGAGACGCCAATTAGGGAGCTGTTACTCTTTCCTTCCTACTCCGGCGTGGTACTGTTGAGCTTGGTGAGACGCCTGTTAGGGAAGTGTTACTCAGTGGTAGATCGACTACTCTGCATGAGGATCCGTCTTATGGTTAGATGTTGATCACGCGAGTGGGTCAAGGTCGCCTGCATGATGGGTCCGTCCTGTGGAAGGACGTTGACCATGCAGGGACTAATTCTAGCTGGGTTGTATGAGGGGTACATGTAGTTATGAGGGATCCATGTAGTTATGAGGGAGCACCTCATCCTCAAACGCTGAAATACTGCTTCAAAGGTTAAGTCCTTCCACCCCGATCTGTGTACTCAGAGTATTGAGACTCTAGGGTCTAGAGTATAGTTGGTGGTTCTCTCCTAAACTTGGATGCGATTAAGAGCCTACAAGTAGGTTGCTTACTGAGTATATTTTTATACTCACCCCGTTTTTCCTTCTTTTTTTCAGGTATCGGTCGAAGTAGGGAGGTATTCGAGAGCTGCACTGTCACAGAGGGGTGTCGTTCCAGAGCGTCAGTTTCTTGTCGGTCTTATAAGTCTTTTGTATTTCATTTTATACTTGTAATTCCTTTTTATTAATTTGAAATAAAATTTTTCTCTATTTTGTTTTAATTAAATGGTATTTTTATTTTTTTACGGTTTACTTTACTTTTCTTTTATTTTCTTTTTTGTTTGTTTTTTATTTCATCTTTTTAGTCACAGTTCAGTTTTTCGAAACCTCGAAATCAGGTCTTGACACTTAATAAAAATTATAAAATATATAAAAGTTAAAATAATAAATCTTTAATTTTAATCCAATTAAAAATAAATAAAAATTTAAAATTTGATTTTATAAATTATAAAACTCTAAATCCTTAGACTTGTTTTTCATTTTAATTTGGTTAAAATTTATTTTAGTTTTAATGTAAATTTTACTTATGTTTTTTAAACACAATTTTTAAATGATATTTTAACTATTTCAAAATTTTGAAATATCTCCATTAAAAATAAGATATTTAAGAATATTTTATTTAAGATATTTAACAATAAAATAGATAAGATAGTGAAATATTTTACTTTGGTTTTTGTTATCATATTTATAATATTTTTATTATGGTTTAATCGTAAATAATTAATGATGGTTAATTATTTAATTTTTATTATATTAAATTATTAAAATAATTAAACTAATGTATTTTTTTTATTTATTAATAATATGCTTGGGTTTATTTATCTAATTTTAATTTAAAAAATTAAAAAATTAAAAAAAAAAACTTAAATATGTGTATTTCCTAATCAAATTTTCATAAAAATAAAATAAATTAAACTATTCATAAATTAATTTATTAGGACACCCTCTTCTCTAATAATAAAAAATAAAATAAAAAAATAATTAAAAAAAAAAAAAAACCTTAGCTCTAAACTTAGGATTAAAACTCATATTTAAAACAAAATTTCAATCTCAATTTTAATATAAATTATACTCAAAATTTACATATTTTTCGAGTCAAAATATCGGAAAGAGCATTAAAATTAAAGCAGTCGATGTTGTGAACCGAAAAATCTCTCGCAATTGTATCATCCATCAACTTCTCCATCTTCTCGGTCTGCGGATCATACAATACTAATTCAGCTCCCGCCCAAACACACAAGATCTTTCCATCTTTACATATTTTAATCTGTTCCACGGTTGATTTTGAAAAAGAAAGAATATTTTTGCTCACATCTGGTACGATGGAACTAAATGCTTTAATCCACGAACCATCTTCTTTCATCTTCCACATCGTGTACTCGTGCCCCTCCATAGAAACAGTTAGATGAAGAGCACCATTAAATACTCCAATACAAGGAAAATAACCGTCATCATTAGGAAAAGGAATGTGCTCGTACTTCTCATCTTCCATATTTAGACGATAAATAACGTCTTGATGAAGATCATCTTGTCCAACCCAATGCAACCCTCCATTCAAGTAAACACCATGACATCCATTAAAAGAACAGGACGGTGACTCAATACGCGTCCATTCCTGCCGGGTCCCAAAAGCAAAAATCTCTGATTTGTAGTTATTATGGACGGTGGAGTTTCTATCTTCCACGGTGGAGTTTCTATCTTCCACGGTGGAGTTTCTTACTACTTTGTAGTGCTTTGTTTTAGGACAAAATCCAAATCCATAGGAGCACGTAAGCCAATTCCCTTTGAATTCGTCCTTGGGAAGTTCAAAGTACTCATTCGTCATGGGATTTAATATGACGACTATATTCGAGTTAAGCCAGCTCTTTGTTTTTTTGGTGACTACAAAAGCTAAGAGTCCATTGCACGAATTAATAGTTGAGATAAAAGAACGTCGGAAATACTTACGACGCAAGTTGAATGAAGCAATACTCCTCACCCCTTCCACGTGGTCTGAATCCAATTCCAAGCAATGTAGATTACGAAATGAGAGACGATCACGGCGGTTGGAATAAACATGGGCAAGCAAAAAGTTGGAAGCAGGCGAGATTGAAGGGTCATGTTTAGAACTTAAGATCACATCGTTCCATGTTTTGCAGACCAACCTGCAACTCGGCAAATAATAGTAAGGGAGTTTGCTGAATATTAGGTCGATGACATCAGGTATGAGTTCGGGAGTTTTGTTGCTAATAATGTCTTGATCATTAGCCATCACTGGGAAAAGCTGGTGAATTTGATTGAATCGTAGAGGAAAGCTAATGGCTTCAGATGAATTGAATTTAAGAACTGGACTAACCTTTAATTGAATGTTCTGTATTTATAAATTAAAAAATTAATCTTTTTTTTATTTTGAATTTAAAAAAATCTATCTTTTCATATTTTGAATAGTCTAGATTTGAGGTTTTCCATATTTACCTATATGAAAATATAGAAAAAATTTAGGAAGGATGGAAATAATTTAGGAGTCTTTAATTTGATTTTTTAAATATTATAAATAAAAATAAAATAAATCTTTTTTATTTGATTTGACAGTATAAAATTTATTTTATTTTTAACTCAAAATTTAATTTGTAATCAAATAATTTAAAATTATATTTATAATAAATTGAAAGTTTAAAAATTTATTAAATATTTGTAATTTAAGATATGTAAATATTTGATTTAAAATATTTGAAAATAAAATATTTATGTATAAAATATGTAAAAATAAGATACTTACCAATCAAGTAACTATATGTGTCCTAATTAAAATTTCATATCCAAATATAGAATTTATGCTCAAAATAATTTAGGAAATTTTTATTTGATATTTTAATATTGTTTTCTATTTTGAATTAATTTAAATATAATTATTAAAAAATTGAATAATAAGAATATATATATATATATATATATATATATATATATATATATATATAAAATCAGAGAGTAACGTAGAGAAAATTATGAAAAAATGATTTGTGTAAGGAAAAAAATATTTAAAGATAAAATATTAATTTTTGTAACGTTTCCTTACAGGCTAATCAAATAAAGTAATAAGGGTGTGAAAACCTTTCCTTAGCAAAAACATTTTAAAGGCATGAGGGGAAGTCCGATAGAGAAAGCTCAAAGAGGACAATATCTACTTGCGATGGACCTAAGTCAATATAAATTATATCAGAGGCAACACTAGACTATGTGCCAACGAGACTATTTTCTGAAGGAGGTAAACACGAGACTGTGTGCCAATAAGGATTTGGTGGGAGTCCCACATCGATTGGAGAAAAGAACAAGTGCCAACAAAGACACTAGACCCCAGAAGAATAGATTGTGAGAATCCCACATTTGTTGAAGAGGAGAACAAAACACTTTTATTCAAATAGTTCATGTGGAGACTGTGAATAAGATATCTTAGCCCAAATGATTCCAACTCAATAAGTAAATAAATAAATAAATAAATAAATAACTAGATTAATCAAAGAAACAAAACCAAAATTCACAATATCGATTCCAACATAAATTAAGCAAATGATTCAATATCGATTCCAACATAAACTAGGCAAATGATTCATATTGCAATTGTGAAGCCAAACTCAAGATGCAGAGATCAAAGAGATGCACAAGCTTTGTGAGTGCAAATTTCTAAATGTAGACCAAAATTTTGTTGCAAGTTGTTGCAACAACAAACAGACTCGCATGGATGTAAAAATATATGCATCTAAACAAAACCAAGATGATACAACTCAGAGAAGGCAACAAAGGCAACAAATGCAACACAAGCAAACCCCACCCAATTCACATATCAGAAAGTTATCATCTCTATTAGCGAAACAAAACTCAAAAACACTGAAAATCATTATTATAAGTAGTTCGTTACTGGAAAATCAATAGCGACGATCTAACTGGAAAATCGACAACAACTAACTAGGAGAAACAATTGCAAATAGCTATTATTCGAAAGAGTCTCAATAGGACGGCTATGACTCTACAAGCCCTCTCTAAGACTTCTATGGCCTTGGCAGTGTTCACTGTCAACAGTACATGGGAGCCTTGCCCTTACTTGAAAATATAGATAGCACGTGACTTGAGTATTATATAAAATACCTAGTAAGTCGCCCCGTTGTTGGGGTTAAGCATACAATACACATTCACAGGACACAAGCAGTTCACACACAGCACATGCACAATCACAAGCAAAGAAAAGCAAACATGAGGGGCTGTCTTCCTTTTCCCTTTTTACATGGCCTTCGAGCTTGGCTTTATCAGGGCAAGGTGGATGCGTGATACTTCTTCACGCACAGCCCACGTATGTTATGTTGGGTTTTATATCCTAAAACTCATAGTTTGTAAACAAAAAATATATTCTATTTTCAATAAAGTTATTATTGTTGTTTATTCAGTAAAGATTGTTATTGAATAAAGTGAACTTTACGATCATTAATCTAAATCCAATAAACTAAGAACACTCTAGCTATAGTATGATTACTTGAACTATATGTAGAGACATAAGAGTGGATCAAGTTCAAGTATATAGTCAAAATAATCTATAGTATAAGGATAAGGCTGAGCACCTTATTCTGGGGACACTATGGATGCAGCCCACTTTTATATATGATATAAACAATGTGATCACTAAATTGTACATGTGGAGACATGTAAGTGGGGCGTCCTATGCAATGAGTATTGCATAAGATCGGACCATGAAGAAAACCACTCTCACTTTATAATGTCGTTTACTGTTGAGACTGATTTTCTTTTCATTCGATAACCTAGGTAACTCGGTTTTAATCCTGAGCTAACCATGAACTCCTGTTTATTCGGAATTATCCTTAGATTTGCATGGGTGAGAGTGGCTCTAGTTCCTGACTCAATAGCCTCCCATTTTAAGGGTAAGACTGGGTGAATGGGTGGGGACGTGGGGTGCAAGATGAAATTCACTCCTATCCACTTTTAAGGATAGAAGAGAGGTAGTTCCCTTAAGCACTGACTCCAGGTCTTGAACAAGGAGCCCCACCCTCTCATTAGCCTGAGAGGGATTCGGTTTACTGGTTGGACCACAAACCAATTGTTCATTAGAGAATTAGTGAGACATAAGGAACAAGAAGTAACTTTAAGGGTAAAACGGTAAATTGACCCAGCTCTAGTTACGAACAACCTATGAAGGATTAACTTACTAATCATAGTTATATCAAATGGATAGAAATATATCTATAGTGAGGGGAGTGCAACTACTAGGCTATAGTGGAGTGTCCTAGTAGTTAACGAATGTTGGTTAACAAAAAGTTAATGAGTTTAACCGGTTAATCTTGATCGTTGGAGCCCATGATCTATAGGTCCATTAGGTCCCTCTGCTAGCTCATATCGGACTAAACCATAGAACAGTGTGAGAGTGAGTTCGAAGTGTTCAAATTCAAATTAGGGAATATGCACTACATATATACGATATATTTAACCGCATTTTTGTTTTATTTACGAATTAAACAAAAAGAGTGAATATGAGATATTTAAATAATATTTAAATACCCGCATTTTTGTTTTATTTACGAATTAAAAAAAAAAGTGGATCTCAGATATTTAAATAAGATTTAAATATCTTAATCAATTATATGTGGGAATTGATTGAGATTGGCATTTGAATTAATATTAAATATTAATTAAATAGTTTAATTAATCATTTAATGTTACTTTAATTTGAAATTCATTATTCAAATTAATTGTTGAATTAAAATGAAGAAAGTCAAAATGTTGACTTCATTTAATGGAAAAATCCATGTTAGTGAAATTTTGAGGTGTCAAAATTTGGTTTAACCAAATTTGCATGCTTGCCAAATAAAACTGTTCGTGAGAAAAAGGAGTTTGAACTACAAAAGGTTAGTATTTAAACTCATTAAGTTTTAATACTTATGAACATGCTAGTTATTTACTATAATTGATGTTTTAAAAGTGCCTAAGATCCAAATTGCTTCCGCATATGTTATATTAACTCCATCACGTTAATGTGGGCTCACCAGTCAAGTTCGTATACAAACTCCCTGGGTCTAGCTTGGTCGGGTACGCATGACATACGTCCGTACCATCATTACATAACATGGCGGTAACCCTATGCATAAGACACAACATGCATGAGGTCCCTAACACTTACTCTCATGGCATTACACGTACATCGTTTCATTTTCCTCATCGCATTGCATAGCATGACTTAATGAAACATCATGTGAGTGTATTGTAGTACATCAGTCAACACATCCATACACGTAAAACTCTCAACATATTCATGACATGTCAATTAATTTCATGCATAGAGGGTAACCAATTCATGGCAACAGCATCACATATATGAGCATGGCATACATCGACATTTCACCACAAGAAAATACATAAGATAGCATACATGGTGTACATTGGCATTTCACAGCAACATAAACACATGGCATAGCATACGTTGACAACACACATGGTACGTGTGAAGGCCACAGTGCACGCACCATTACACATAGATAACTAACGCCAACAGTAAGGTTACTTACCTCCTTGGCCTTGGCCGAAGTCACTCGCGACGCTAACTCCGGCGCCTAACTACCCCTGTAAAATCACATGATACATTTAGAGTCCTTTCACAACTAGCCCCTTATGTCTAACTATCAAGGTACGTTATTATCACAACCTGTTTTTATCGAAGTGGAGTTATATTGACCTCAGATGGTTGAAACAAGGGCGGGAATGGTTCCAGAAGGGTTTGAAACCTAGGAATCGGTATATTATTTGTATACCGAGATGCTGAGCCGCCAAACCATGCCGCTGAGCCGAAGTCAAAAGGCTGAGTCGTGAAATGCAACGGAGCCGCTGACGAAGCCAAAGTCAAAGGGCCGAGCCGACGAGCTGCGAAGGTCACTGGCGGCGCACGGTTTCTGGACGTGTCTTTTGTCACTGGTCTTTGGTCAAGATGGAACCGCAGCCCAGTGACGGTGTCCGAGCGCGGCCTGCAAGGCATGGGCCGTACGCTGGCCGAGGCGAACTCGTGGGATACCCGAAGAATCGACCCGTGCCTGTTGCTCTGTCTTCCTCACCCGAGAGTCCCTACGAACCCTAATCGTGGAACCCGACTACCGTTGCCGGTGAGATCATCGTCGTCCGTTCGTCCTTGATGGTGCGTCTATCCTCCTTGTCCATGAAGTACCCCGACGTTGGTTTTCTCCCACCTAAGGCTCGTAAACGTCCAAAGTCTTGCGGCAT